TTACCGGAACACTAGTCCTATGGGAATAGGGCCCCACACTTACGATCTTATTTAACCCTTGTCATCTCTTTAAAGGCTCCATCCCCAAATATAGCCACATGGGGGGTGAGAGCTTAGGGCTTTCAGCATATGAAATTGAGGGGGACAAAATTCAGTTTGTGACAGGGAGAAAAACAAACATTGGATACTACGGGATAATAACTTTGTGAATATTTTATGCTATGCTAAGTTTCTCCCTTCTAAGTTTTCCTTGTGTCTTTTGGTAAAAGAAACATTGAAATGACATTTAACTGCCTACTCCCACCAGCAGGCATAATCTATAGAGTCTGATTTTTAGAAGGTCATGAATTATTTCATTAAATTGTTAAATGTCTTTATATTTAACATAATATGTGAGATATGTACATATATCCTTCTCAAAAGTGACATTTTAAACTACGCCTTTTTAGAAGTTTTTCTTTTGCTTTTTAAAATAGCTAATGCAGAAAGAACTGGTTAAATGTGTTAAATTCTGGTAAAAAGTCAGTTTCTTGTTATTTAACTGGCCCTGTAGAAATACTAGTTAGTTGACTAAAAGTAAAGACTTTTTCTTCTAATGTATAAGAAAAAATTAAAGCACACAAGAATCACACCTAATTACAGAAAGAGTCAGCCAACAGTGTTAATATTATTACAGAAGCTCTTTTCTGTTACTTTTCTATGTACAGAGATAATGTGAAATTACAAACTTTAGATAATCTTTTCACACAGTTTTCTACATCTTGTTGAATCTAGCCTCCAACTTTTATCTCCACAGTATGAGATTAGATTTGTGGAAATTGGACAGAGAAGTGGTCCTTTTCCACGGAGAGGGTCAAGTTTTCTTCTCCCATTCCCGTTTTCTCCAAAACTGAAATGGAGAGCAGTACTTTTCTCCTCATTTAATTGTCTATTGGTATGGCCTTGAATTTCCAGAACCCTTGACGTAATGAGACTTTATAAGAACCTCAGTAGCCACTCTTGCGGACTCTGGCTCTGGGAGCTGTGAGAATTGAAAACTGCCAGCCAGTCGGACTCCATTGCTGTGCAATGAATAAGTACATTCATCCCCTCTATGTGGCGGCTTCTGGGAATCTTGTGACCTCTGAGAGGTCTAGGGTGGGTCTTAGTGAGACACTATCTAGTGGTAGCATTCCTAGACAGCAAACCCCAAAGAACATCATTCCCACTTACTGTTGCTTCCCTTCCAGAGTTTTAAGTTTTCAGGAATACCCAGGTAGAGCTTATCTAACATAGAGCCCTCAGCGTCCCCTAAAAACTCTCATTGCACTGCCCTGACCAAGGTCTGTTGCCTAACAAAACAGCCAAAGCAACCTCTCAAAAACGTAGGAATTGCCGGGCCTGTTGTACTTCCGCCCACTCAAACCAGGAGGTGTGTTAATTTTGTGTCTTGGGTGAAGTAAAATGAGAAGGAATGGACAGAGAAGGGGAAGGGTGAATGGGAAAAGATGGAACAGCGGCAAATTTTGTCTCAATGATCCCTCTAGAGCTGTGGTTCCCCTAGAAAGAGCAAACAGGGAGCTATTTCTTTATCTATACAATGTAGACAACAACAGATAGAGCTGTGATGAGGCCATGATTGGGTGTATACAAAGGGCTTGCAGTAGCAAATATTCAGTAAATATTCATCAGAGCTGTTGTTCCTGCTACCATTATGGGCAATTGGAAATGGAAAGGGTCCAAGCTTGGACAACAGTTTTACCCATCAGTCACCGGACGGACAACTCTGAGACAGTTACTTGATTCTTGAACCTCATCTGCAAACTGGGGATTATAGCAGAGGAATGCACAATTTCATTGCTAAGAACAATTTCATGTGTTAATTATCTCTGTCTTTCGGGGGGGCTGAGTGGCTCAGTCGGTTAAGCGTCTGACTCTTGGGTTTAGCTCAGGTCATGATCTTGTGGGTTGTGGGGTCGAGTTTTGCGTGGGCTCCACACTCAGCGGGGAGTTGACTTGAAGTTTGTCTCCACTGCCCCCCCCCCCCCCGCCACGTGCTCCCTTGCTCTCTCTCTCCGGTAGATAAATCTTTTCTAAAAATCTTAACAAAAAAATGACCTCCGTCTTTCCTTGTCTGGATGGGATGGCTTAAAAAATGAGAAGATGGACTTTGAAGGGAACTAGTTAGTGCATAACGCGACATCTGAGTGAGCATAGATACTTAGAGAATCCTGTTTTTAAATAAGAACTTAATGCAAACTAGAGTTAGCATAATATATACATTTTTAGAACCGTATTTATCCTATTCCCATAAAACAAGCTGTCAGGCACAACTTCGTAAAAACACTTGTTAATTTTGGTCTTCAGATAAGGCAAGTTAAAAACTAAAGCTATATTGTGAAATTAAAAAGGAATATTCTATATCTTAAGAGGTTGGAATCTGATTTCAGCTGAACACAAGAAGTTAAATTAGTTAATTAATCTTATTTATTTCAGAGCCGTGAGCAGGTATGATGCTGTGTAAATCAGACGGCTGTGGATTGAGTTATCATTCACTTAGATTGAAAAAACATCTGCATAAGTGGTCTGTGTCTTCCAGGATATAAGAGCAATACACATGCTCACAATAATTAGAAAGCAGGCAGGCGCCTGGGTGGCTCAATTGGTCGGGTGACTGCCTTCGGCTCAGGTCATGGTCTCGGAGTCCCAGGATTGAGTCCCGCATCAGGCTCCCACCTCCATGGGGAGTCCGCTTCTCCCTCTGACCTTCTCAGCTCTCATTCTCTCATGCTCTCTCTCAAATGAATAAATAAAATCTTAAAAAAAAAACAATAATTAGAAAGCAGACAAATAATGATGTTTTGGAAAAGACTGAAGGAAATGCAACCATCTAGATGGTTCTACTGAAAGTCCAGACCTGTAATCACATTGCCTGTAAAACTCAGCCATTTAAGGACAATAACAAAAACACCTACCTTTCTCTATATACATCCTAAAAGTAATATGGTGTTGGTCTATTGAAAGAGATGTCTCTTCTACTCTTCCCTAATTATTATTCTGTCCCAGGCTTTGTGTTCCTCTTTATTTGGCTAACTGCAAGATTATGACAACAATATCTGGAATCACCAATTATATTTTCACTATATAACCCTTTGAACCATGTTTGGTGGGTTTTGGTAGAGCCTCTCATCTACACTCAGAGATTTGAAGCTCACCCCTAAATGAATGTCATATGCAATTAATTTGCAATAGAAGTAATTTGAAGTTAGAATGAAAGCCAGATCTCTCATGGGTTTTCAAAATAAATGCTTTCCCGAGTCTAACACTGGAGAAACTCAGAAATACTTTAAGGTATTCAATCTCAGTTGTTGTTCCCCAGTTCATTGAGGGAACGAGATATTTTTATTAGCAGACATTTTAATGACTGAGTAGTGTTTATCCTTACTTATGTGACTTAATTTTATTTTATTGAGAGGTACGTATTCACTTATTAAAATGATCTGATTCCCAAGATGTAGGCATGTTGGAAACTTCTCCTTATAAATTAGGCAAATGTGTTCTGGATAACTGTTATCCATATATATCCATATTATCCATATAACAAATACTTACTGAGCAACTAGTATGTGCAGGACACTAGGTAGGTTACAGTGACTGGACTGACATGCGTCTCTGTGGGATTCACTCGCCCTTGGGCTCATTAGATTCTAGAAGGAATCAATGGTCAAAGATGAAGTCTAGGCTCACTGGCATGCCCCACATGGCCCAAAGCATCTGTGTCCTAGAGACCAGAGACCAAAATGCCTGCATCCTCCCACTGAAGTGTTATTTGGTGACTTTCTCCCTACTTCCTCTGGCAAGAATGGGAATGTCGACATTGGCGCATATTCTCTTGAAGTTCCAGCTGCTCATAGGTTTTTTCCTGAGGAGACGCTGGTGTCTAGAATAGAATGTCCTCTAGGACAATGCTTCTCAAATTGATGTAGCATGAGTGATTTTTCTTTCTTTTCCTTTTTCCCAATCCTTTGTAGACAGATACTTTAAAAAAGAGAGACATGCAAAACAGAAATCTGTTTTTTACTATGACTGAAACATTTCTTTTCATCTCTAGGCTTAACTTGTAGACCCTACTCTCAGAGGCTGCCCTGAATTCCTCTAGTCATACACATCCTGGGAACCCTCAACCTTTCACCTCACAGACTCTCCCTGTGCTGTCGTCTGACCTTATCTTCACCCCCAGGAAACCACAGGGTCCTCCTTTCAAAAATCCACCAACATCTCAACATCTCAGTCTCCACCCCAAGTTCTCCCATAGTCCTTACTGTTCCTTCCTGACCCTCTGTCCCCAGTGACATCCTTGCCAAGGCCACACTTCCTTCGTTCTCTGCTCATGAAAATCGGTGCCTCTTTTCATTCTCTAGTCGACCTTCTAAAAGCTTTCCTAAGGTTCTAGCCTAAATGTCAGACTCTGTACACTTTAAAAATGTGAATGCCAGTGTCCAAAATGGGGTTGGGGAATTTCTTTAAGATTTGACTCTAACCCTGTGTGTGAGTGCATGAGTCTGTGTGTGTGTCTCCATAGCAGCTGGGGAGGGTAGCCTACAACAGGAGCTTCTAAGGGTGGTAGATAGTACTAATCCACCAGCTGAAAAAAGGAGGATGCCATCATTAACATGGAAGAAGGAATGTGCAACTTCTGTTGTTTCCTCTCTTCTAGCTTTAGATCCCTTCACTGTGACCAGAGCTTTGGTGGGTGGAACTATACACACACACACACACAGGAAGAGCATTTTGAGAAGGTCAATAGATGTGTTTCTTCTGCCAATGACAGGAACCTTCAGTCTCCAACCATGTGTGTCCTCATCTGTTACATGAGATGGTTAGGCACCATGATCTATGAGCTCACTTTCACTAGAAAATTCTGTAATCTTCTGACGTTTCTTCAAATCCTTTTGTGTAGCCTACTGACTTTTCCCCACCTAGGGCTATATGTTAACTCCATTTTCTTAATTCTCTTCCAGCAACTGTGTTCTGATCAGAGGCCAAATAATTGACATTTGGAACTTCCACTAAGGTACTATAAGGTAAGATCTTTGGAGGGGAGGGTTGAGTTCTTTGTTTTAATAAAAGGATTTATGGATTAATCAGTGAAATAGATTAATGAGGTATAGGGATTTCTAAATTGGTGTTTTTCAATATGATTTCTAATTGCTGTCTCTGCATCTTAAAATAGCTATACAGTAGTGTTTGATTTTTGAGTCTTGATAAAGATATTGTTTTTGCTTATTTGCTGATCAGATTCAAAATTACAATGAAAGCATGTTTGTTAAAATATGAAATAAGTAGTTTTATTTCAAATATTCCTTTGTATCTTAATTATAGCAATATGGGGTTATTGGAAATCAATGCAAAATGTTTGCATTTTTAGCGTATATAGAATCTTATAGCTCATCTAACTCATAGAAGCTTAAATATTATCCTTTGATTTATATCATCTTATCCAAAATGCCATACAAAATCTGATAGGGAATATAAAGAGCGATATTGTAAAAAAAGTTTAATCTCCCTTAAACATTGTTAATACTTTCTCCATTCAGCAGACAGTGCAACTAACCTACCTAATATCCTTTCTCCCTTCCAAATAATAATAATAATAATAATGCCATTATTACTATTATTATTCTGATGTTTTTAAGAACAGTGAAATGCCAAGTTTAGAATCTTTGCCTTCCCTGACTCCTTTATTGAGGCCTCATAACCCAGCTCTGGCTAACGAACTCTAGATGGTGAGCTCCAGGTAGGGCCTCCCTTCCTGAATTTATTCCCTTCCTGACACAGTAGAGCAGGGCTTCAAGAGCAGAGTATCTTTGGAATATTTTCCTTATTAGGACTCCATCCATCTACCTGGAAAGCTGTTCTAAAATTTGGAGCCGCTGAGTAATGACACAGTCAAGGCCATTGAAAGGAGAACTTACTACTTCCATATCCTGAGAGAAGGGCCACTGCCCGCCACCAGGGCCATCTGAGGAAGAACCAGGTTAGACAGGAGAGAAGGAGAAGTCGGAAGCAGAGTCTTTACTTGGAGTGTCTGCAGGAATAGCTGTGCAAAATGGGACAAACAGCTGAGAACTGGACATTTGGAAGAGTGTAGGTAGGCGCTGGGTGGTAGAGGTTGTCTCTGGTCTCCGGGTCCCAGGTGCTAGGGAAACACTGGCTTGCGGTGTAAGAGTGAGAGGAGAACTGGGAGTATACAGCTAGGATTGCTTGGTTTACCTGTGAAAGGTGGGTTCCAGTCCTCGCCCCTTGCTATCTCTAAGAACTGGCTAGTCCTGGGAAAGGCAGTCTTTCCCTAAGCAGCAAGCTTTTAAGATCTCAAAACATCATAAAATACAGGAAGTAAAAACCATGATGAGTACCCAGCACAGCCCCCATCTCGTAGTTCCAAGGACTAAAGCCCCAGCCAGAGATGTTGGAGCAGAAAGGTAAAGGAGCTTGACTCCTTGATGACATTCTTGAGTTCTTGTGAACCTACCATCAGCTCTCCTGTGGTATGACCTTGATCAGTTAGGTCCCCTGAGCCTCAGAGCTGAATGCAGACAGAGCTGATTCACGGTCATTCAGATCCAGGCGCTGTGCTAGTCGTACCTCTTTAATGTCGCAGGAGTACTGTCCGGGTGTTAGTATCCCCATCTACAGATGAGGAAACTGAGATGTTGAGAACTGTGTCCTGTGATCATAGATATCACGGGTGAGGTTTGGACTGGACCTGTCGGGCACCCTTCCCAGTGCTCCGCTGCCTTGATGCTTATCCTGGCAGGATCTGGCAGGACCCCGTGCTGTTGCTGATCACATCTGCTGGCTAGTCTGTGGCATTGCTGGCTCCAACCCTTTGAATGCTTGCTCTTTGGTAACACAGAATTCCCACTGGATTATCTATTTATAAAACTAAGTGAACTGAGACTCTTCCGCATTAAAAAAGAAAAATGGAAGGAGAGGGAAAGTCTGGTTGGGGGGAATCAAAAGGAATTAGAATTGTCTATGAAAGCAGGTGAAGGAACTATGAATTCCAAGCTGGGTTGTTTTTGCTTTCTTTAATTCTTTTTTGTAATAAACATTTAGAACTAATGGTCTCAATATGGCCACCAAAATTCTTTTAACCTACAGTCTTGATATTAAATATTCTCCTTCTCACAGTCTGTTACTTTACTCATACTTATTGGGTACAGGGGGTAAAATGCAGATAAAAGATAAGTTATGTAAAGAAACTCCTTTCCAAGGAAATCATGCACAATATTGAATAAGGTACTGAGCTGAGTCGGGGAAGGACAGGGAAGGAGGTGTTTGGGTAATGGAAAAGTCTCTGGGCTGGAAAATACGAGAGGGGCAGTGCAGGTGACAGCCAGCTCTGTTGTCCTTAAAAATGCCATCTCACCTCTCCGGACCTTTGTTCTTTATTTGTAAATTGAGGGTGTCAGATATTCTGATACTCTCTTAGTGTAAAATAATAGCTTACCCTGTCGGATCTCCTTTGCAAATACAGGGACATGCTGTGTCTGCTAAAGCCACGCTTTCCTTTTGGCCTTTGCATCTCTGCGTTCTCAGTGATTTTCCTGTCTCTTTCCTTTCTTTCAAATAGATCCTGAATCTCCTCATTTCTTTCTGTGTCTTCTGTTACGACCCTACCCCAAGTCATTCTGTCTTGTCTAGACCACTGCATGAGCTTCCTCCTGGCCTCCTGACTCCCGTGCTTGCCTTGCCAAAATCCTTTCCATGTGCCACAGTCCCTGCCTGGGGAAGCCACATCACATCTCTGTCTCTCCTGCTTGAGACCTGCTCAAGACCTTTCCACTCCCCTCCATCAAGGGCCACACTCCAATGCACAGCCATGACTTACATATCCCATACTTTTCTCCTTGTTCCCCTACTCCGTCGTCTGTCCTTACCATTCTGTGAGTGTTTCTTTGTGTCCTTGCCCCCTTCCTGGGGCCCTGCCTATTCACATTTCAGTGGCTGTAGCCTTCCATAACCACTTTCTGGAAATGAGCACTAGCCCAGGCACGCAAATTTAAGTCCTTCTAAAAACTAGACATTTTCTGTTGTAAAATACCCCGCTATGGTAAAAATACCTACCCCTACAACTTAAGGGATTTAGGCAAGACTGAAGAATGCAGCCATGAGTATTTGTTTAGGGTTTGCTGTTGATCTCTTGCCCTAGAATGATCCAAGTTCCCTGAGAGCAGGGCGTTGTGTGTGTGTGTGTTGCCGAAACCACAGTGCCTATAGGGATGCCTGTTGCCTCCAGGAAGCTTTATAAATATTTGCTGAATGGATGAATGTAGAGGCAGAAAATGCTACAAGTCAGTAATCTCAAAAGAAGTTAAGTTGTGCTTATAGATGTCTCCCATGAGTCTATTGCTTAGGAAGGAAGGGGGAAAAAAAGGTAGAGATGGGGAAAAAAAAAAAGAAAGAAAGAAAGAAAGAAAGAAAGAAAGAAAGAAAGAAAGAAAGAAAGAAAGGAAGGAAGAAAGGAAGGAAGAAAGGAAGGAAGAAAGAAAAGAAACCCTTCTGGGAAGAGGGACGGACAACAGTGCACACAGAGGCAGCAGTTAACCTGGGAAGGACGGCTTTCAGTCTTCTTCCTAGCCGCGTTTTTGATCTATGATGAGGAGTGGCAGACGCCAATCTTCTAGATCTTACGTAGATTTATCAACTAAGCCTGGCATATACATAATCAGACATGTTTGTTGAGTGAAGGCCCCGAAGAATGAAATAATAAATTATTGAACTGCTAAGAGCCTTTTGCCTTTTTTTTTTTTTTAATGGGCATGATAATATTCCCTGGATGCCAATATTCAGTCCGTGTTGGTAACAGGCGTTCCAAATACACTGAGTGTGAAAAACGTTCCGTGAAACAGAATTCAGTCACTGTGCTCGGCATCTCCCCCAGAGCATTTCGGAATTCATTCCGTCTTCAAGTAAATTGTCACAGTGACTATCCAGAGTGGCACACCATGCTAATGTATTAAAATGCTGATGGGAAAATGGAAATGAGAAAAACATCTTATCTGTCAATTAAATGATGTAGCCTCGTGGTTGGATTACAGCAACTCCGGGCCTTTTTGTTTTCTGCCAATTGAGATTTGACAGCTGTTTATAAAATATTTACATTCTGATTTCAGTCACATTGACAGCACTTTTGGGTCTTTGGAAGATGATAATTACATGTTAGGAAAATGTTAAAAAAAATTTTTGAAGCTGATCTGTTGAGGGGGGGAAATCTGTTTTTTTTTTCAAATTGTGCAAAGGAAGGAAATGTACTTTATTAAAGGATATATTTCTAATAAGATAAAGAAATAATAGGTTTTTGTGATCCAGAGAGATACTGCATGTAATATGAAGGAATATTCTTCTCCATCCTGCCTGTTCTGGGCACCTTAGCTTTTCTTAATCAGCCCTGTCTAGCTAGATACATGCTTCTCACCTTTTTTCACTTTTTTATGCATCCATAACATTTGTGTGGTACATGGGTAGGCAAATTAGACTGGATTTGAGAGTATCCATACAGAATTTTGCAAGAAAAAAAAGTATATTGTTACTATTCAAAGAAGAGAAAATAAGTGTTGGGAACAATACTAAGTACTGAATTTATGTAGAATTTTCCAATAAAATACTTTCAAGTGTTTTCATGAGAAATGTCAATTTATGAATCACTTCTTCTTATCAGGTATTAGGTTAGAAAGAGTGACCTATATTTCTTGGCCAGTGATCTTGTTGGAGTTTTGACAGTCATTATCTGTGTTATGCTTCGTAGGAACAAGTAGATGATAGAAAATTTAAAGCCAGGTTTATAGCCATTCAAGACTTTCCTGCAATTGAAATTCTGTTTAAAGAATCTAACAGCGGTTACTTTCTTTCACTGACAAACGCTACATTGAAATTCCTTAAAGCAAATGATTTTGGAATTCAACCTAACTTTTTGAGTATGAGGTATTTTTTTATATATTTCTTAAGATTTTATTTATTTATTTGACAGAGAGAGAGAGAGCGCACAAGCTGGGGGAGGGGCAGAGGGAGAGGAGAAGCA